TTTTTGAAGAATATTCTCCAAGTCATGGAATATCCTATGGTCTTGTTCGTTTAAAAAATAAATGAATTTTTTCAAAAGTAAATTGTAGTAATGATCCCTTAATTTTAATCAAATTGGAGCAATAGTCCATCAACTAAAAATTCATTACCTTTGGTCCCTCAACTCATCAAATGTGTAACTATGATCATTTTCATTAACTTCGTCAGAATTTTGTCAAAATGAGTTATATTGGAAGAACTATTGCTACAATTTGGGTTCCTCAACTCATCAAAACGTGTAGCTATAATTATTTTCGTCAACTTCATTAGAATTTTGTCAAAATGAGTTATGTTGGAATGATCAGTGCTACAATTGAGTTAAAGTTGAGGGACCATTTTTCCAGTTGGATTAAAGTTAAGGGACCAAGGGTAATGAATTTTTAGTTGAGAGACCAATGGTAATGGATTTTTAATTGAGGGATCATTACTCCAATTAAGTTAAAGTTAAAGGACCATTGCTACAATTTACTCTTTTTTCAAAGTTTTTGTTCTTTGGCAAAGGTAGGCATAAAAATATACAAAATTTATAAAAACAAATAGGGAGTTTATTCAAGAGATTCAGTGCACTCATAACGCGTGTCAATATAACACATATCATAATATAAGTGCAGAAATATTAAAAGTTAAATAATCTTTAATTATATCATAAGATGTAATGTGCTGACTTATATTTTGATTACATGGAATATTTTTTTTATTAAAATAGACAAAGGGGAAGAATTTATATGGCACAAGGAAAAAATTTGGCCGCTTACTAAAGTGGAGAGAATAAGAAATTACATGACACATGTATACTGTTACAAAAAAATATATAATTTTTATCTATTTTAAAAAAGTATTTTATATATTTATGTTTATTAATACAAAATATCTCGTGGCGAGGAACCTATATAAGCTGTTTTCTGAGACGGAGAGGGAGAAGGAGATACTTATTAAATAAAGGCTTCACAAAAATTAATGAAGAAAAAGAACGAAACTTGAAACGAACAAAAGCCACCACCTTCCAAGTAGAAAACTCTTACGCAAAAGCAAACAACAAATCAAACCGAACCAACCTCCCACAGCGCTCTCTCTCTCTCTCCCTCTCTCTCTAAGCTTCCTTTGTATTCACTCAACCTCTTTCTCTTTGCTATTCTTTTCAGCTCTCTCTCTCTCTCTCCCTCTCAAGACGCAATTGTAGAGAGAGAAAGGAAACAGCTTTCTTTCTTTCTTTCTCTCGCTAAAATATTTCAGAAGCATGGTTGGAGAGAGAAATTTGAGAGGGTGAGGGAGGAGGAGCATAATCTTGGAGATACCTTTTTTGTGGGTTGTTAAATTTGAGAGAGAGGGGGTGAAGATGTTGGGGTGTGAGTGTTGGTGGTGGAGGAGCAGTGACTACCAATTGTATGATTACTCAGAGCCGCAGCCGCAGCCGCAGCCCTTCTCTCTGCCTTCACCTCTTCCACACTGGCCCCAAGGTAATATTTCCAACCAAGATCCTTTCTTTCCTAAACAAAAAGCACTTTTGCAGTTTCACTTATCTCTTGTAACTGCTTTTTTAATGGGTTTCTTAAAGTTGTCCATCTTGTTTTTAGCTAATTATTCTTTTTCACAAGAACTTAGTTCATCAGATTTGCTAAATTGTGTTTGTTTGAAGAACATAAAGGTCCCCATCGGAAATATGACAAACCAAAATATTTAAATGTTAAAATAGTGAAACACCGGAACTATTTGACATTTAAGCTAATATAATATATTAAATGGTTCAAGATTTTTCTTTCTTTACCTTGTACTCTTGATTTTTCATATGTTTTTTTCTCAATTTATTTGTCTTTGTTTGGTGGTCCAACTTTGTTTTTTTAGTAAATAAATAAATTATAGGCAGTTTGGTATTCCCAATAAGCTCAATGCCATTGGCAAAGAAGGTGATTCTCTTTTCTTCTGATCTCTCTTCTCTTTTTTCCTCTCCTACTTAAATAGTTACGGTTAAATCACGTCAACATCTTACATTAATCTTTTTATAAAGATAATAAGATAAAAAATAATATGAGTGAGGAGGAAAAGGAAGGGGATGAGAGTAGGAGAAGAAAAAATTCTACTTCCACGGACGGTGCCTACTGAGGTTCAGGTCCACATATTTTTGCAAAACTTGCAGCTCCCCTTTCCCCCCAAACATCCCCATAAAGTCAAAAGCAGAGAGATTTTATTTATTTATAAATAATTCGGAATTTTATCAAATCCATGAACTTGGTCAATATTTGAAACATAGATATGCAGAAAAGCCTTGAAAGTTGAAGTTCTTGGAGTTTGAAAGCTTCAATGTTCTAAATTTTGTATGTTCTCCAATGCTTGATTAAAATGTCAAATTTTAAGAAGTTTCAAAGTTGTAAAATCTTCCCTGATTACACTTGGGCTGCGTTTAGCACGCGGAAAAGAATTCATAACGTAAAAGTTTGAAGCTTTGTCTCCAAACTACATTTTAGGAGCTCGATTTCGAGTTTCTTTGAATCTGTTACAAATTGATGTTTTGCGTGAACTCAGGTCGAAGAAGAAAGGAAAGATTACAACTAATAAACCTAGAACAACAATGTCATGCTAAGATTTTAAGAAAAACTAACAAAACGTCCAAAAAAACTTCTCTTTTAACGAAAAGCCCTTTTTAAAGGTATAGTGAATAGTGTCAGTTAAAGGTAAAAATGTGGTTTTTCGTTAAAAGTGAACAGTACCATGAGTGTTTTGTTAAAACTCCCAAGATTTTACTGTCACGTTTATGTCGTCAAGTAAATGTTAATGTATTGTTATGAGCTCGTTTTCTGAACAATGTGTACCTTTCTTCAGGCGAAGGATTTGCTGCTGGAAGAATACGTCTCGGAGAAATTGAGGTTATCCAAGTCACCAAGTTTGAGAGCATCTGGAGCTGTAGTCTGTTGCGTGGAAAATCAAGGGGTGTCACATTTTATAGACCTGCAGGGATCCCCGATGACTTCTTTTGCCTCGGTTACTACTGCCAGCGGAATGACCAGCCATTGAGAGGGTATGTTCTTGTGGCACGTGAAACGGTTGCCAGAATGGTGGATGATGGTTGTACCCGAGGCTCAGCATTAGAGTTACCGGCTTTAAAAAGGCCGGTTAGCTACTCATTAGTCTGGAACGCGGATTCAAGTAAAAATGGTTGTGGTTATATTTGGTTGCCAAACCCACCTGTTGGTTATAAGGCCATGGGTTTTGTGGTCACTGACAAGCCTGAGGAACCTAGCCCCGAAGAAGTTAGGTGCGTACGAGAAGATCTTACAGAGACTTGTGAAACACATGATCGGATGCTAGCCATGGATTCAAAGTTGGACCAATTTCAGGTGTGGAATACAAGACCCTGCAAACGAGGTATGTTCTACAGTGGTGTTTCCGTTGGTACATTCTTTTGCAGTACATACTTGGATTCCGATGAAGAGCTAGAAGTTGCGTGCTTGAAGAATTTTGATTCGTCTTTACACGCAATGCCAAATCTGAACCAGATTCATTCACTAATTGAGCACTACGGCCCCACGGTGTTCTTCCATCCTAATGAGGTTTATTTGCCATCATCGGTGCAATGGTTTTTCAAAAACGGGGCACTTTTGTACCGGGAAGACACTGGAAATGGCAAACCGATTGATTACAGAGGCTCCAATTTGCCTGCTGGTGGGGAAAATGATAGTGATTTTTGGATAGATTTGCCAAGCGATGATGAAGCGAAAAATCTTCTCAAAGCCGGAAACATAGACAGTGCGGAGCTATACGTTCATGTAAAACCAGCATTGGGAGGAACTTTTACAGATATTGCTATGTGGGTGTTCTGCCCCTTCAATGGACCATCCACCATTAAAATTGGTTTGGTAAATATTGCACTGAACAAGATAGGCGAACATGTCGGTGACTGGGAGCACTTCACTCTCCGAGTGAACAACTTCACGGGAGAACTCTGGCAAGTGTATTTCTCAGAGCACAGCGGTGGCAGATGGGTGGATGCTTTTGATTTGGAGTTCATCGAAGGGAGTAAGCCGATTGTGTACTCATCAAAACACGGTCATAGTAGCTATGCTCATCCCGGGACTTACCTCCAGGGTTCATCCAAGTTTGACATAGGAGTAAGAAATGACGCTGCGCGGAGCAAGTTCTTCATTGATTCGAGCTCCAAGTATCAAATTGTTGCGGCCGAGTACCTTGGCAATGGCGTTATATCCGAACCATCTTGGTTGCAGTATATGCGAGACTGGGGTCCGACCATTGTGTATGATGGACGATCGGAACTAGATAAGTTGATTGATCGCCTTCCCTTCTTTGTTCGATTCTCTGTCGAGAACTTAATCGAGTTGTTTCCTACTCAAATCTATGGCGAGGAAGGGCCAACTGGCCCTAAGGAGAAGGATAATTGGGTAGGAGATGAAAGATGATAGCTCTTCCAAGCAAAATTGTCATATGAACTGCTTTCTTTCCTTGGCTATGGATGGTTAATGGATTGTGAAAGAATGTTGTAACGAGATTTCTTGGGTGACAAGCAATCGCGCGAGGCGGGAAGTAACACGACCCACGGTGCTACGAAAGGGTTGTCGAACCTTGCCAGATGTATTTATTGTCGTCGGAAAAAATAAGTCCGGTAGGGATCCCAATAATCTCTTCCGGGAGAGGGGAGAAGGAACTCGATTCTCGATGAACGAAGGGGCATTGTAGGGAATTTCCATGGCCATGTCAATATTATGAAACACAGTAATCAAATTGGCTAAATTTCGGTGAAGATTTATACGATTTAAAATTTTCAACAAGTATTTTTCTCATTTTCATTTTAAATCCTCGAGATTCAATTTCTCCACCGTACTTTCTTTGTGTCGCCTTCGCCTTCACCTTCGCAGACGAAGAAAAAGTGTGAAAATCGCTTCCTTAAATATGATCTCAAATCACACAATCATTAATCAATTAATTAATTAATTGAGAAAAAATCACAAGAAATTCATAGAAAGCAACAAAGAGATTTTCATTGCTCATTTCATCGTCCTCAGATTTACACAAACCTATTTCTTTGGTATCAAAAGAACTAAAATCCTTTTTCTTCCCCCACCAAAACCAAAAAACAAGTATCCATGGGGAAAGGGCTCCTCATATTTTGGACACTAATCAACACTCAGATCAACAACCACCACCAAACCTTATCCTACTAAGTGGGGTCGGTTGCAAGACTTGATCAATACACACAACAAAAAGAATGTTCCAATTTCCAAATTGTGTTCAAGGGGGCAATGAACTCACAGCAATCGCAATACAATTGGACCATTTACATCGGACAAAAGACGAGAACAAATCGGAAGGCACTCCCGTTCACCTGAGCCTGCTATCTCGATTGTGCTCCTCCCAGCTTAGCTCGCGGCCACATTCCCCACACACAGTAGTGCAACCCTGTTTTGTGCCCTGACTTCTTAGCGTCAGCAAATGCGAAAGGTTAGTGCACTTCCGCTGCACAAAAGCATTCTTCGCCTTGGATTCAGCAAGGATGCTTTTCTTTGGTGCAGATGACGCAGTATTTGATGCAGCTGGTTTTTGGTCGATTGCAGATTCTTTGAGAGGAATTCTCTGCACTTCCTCCCATCCAAATGATTTCTGGTATACTTCCCAGGCCATGTCTTGCTCCTCCTTTGTGAGCCTTTCTTCTTCATTCTCTTGCAAAAGGGTCTCATGTTCGTGGAAATTTGCGATCCACCTGAAAACAAGGTAGGTCATGCGTAAGAGGACGGAAGTATGAGTTGCCAATTGCACCAGAGTAAAAGGCAATTACCCTTACCAACAGATGCTAAAGAAAACGAGAACAAAGAACAGGAGTGTACCTTGGAGAATGCTTGCCAATTAACCTTTCCATGAGCTTGTCAGAAGAGCAACTTCCTTGAGAAAGAGGAACTACGTGTTTTGGCAAAATTTCCACTTCACCAGTCATATTGTCGTTCATGCGTCCGTTTTCTTGGTCAAGCTCATGGTTCTCATCATCACCAAATTCAAAAAGATGCAACATCTCTTCCTTAGATATTGTCCTATGTACCTGTTGTCGGTCAACAACCCTTGCAGCCAGGCCCTCCTTCGTTACCTGACGCTTATAAATTTTTTCTTCCATAGTTCCATGTGCCATCAATCTGTAAGCGAACACTGGCTTTGTTTGGCCATACCTGGAAATAGAAAAAAAAAAAAAAAACATATCATTTACGATGTACCTGCCCTACCGAAGAATGGAAAGTTGGAGTGATAAAGGAGGAATAATCATCAGGCTTGCTGTCTGGCACATTCGATGTATGGCCATTCTAAAAACAAACCCTCCCTAATGCTATATAGCCCCTAATCTACACTTTATCAAGGCACATTTACCAAACAAAAACTGAGTTAAGGACTGCAACAGAAAATTCAAATTCACCTCCAAGCACGATATATAGCCTGAAGATCGTATGTTGGATTCCAAGAACCATCAACTATTATTACGCGATTAGCAGCATATAGATTTATCCCTAATGATCCAGCTCTGGTGGAAATTATAACACATTTCACCCTCTTATTTAGGGGATCATTAAAGCGTTCAACCAGCTTTTGCCTTTCTGAGCCCTCTGTTCTCCCATCTAGCCTGAAGAGCAATAAAGAATCCAGTAAAAACGACGTAACCCAAATAATAGCTTTTATGCAAAAGACATTGCAGCTACATCTGCAGGAAATAGTCAGAAGAAGGATATATAGTATGGAGCAACGGCAAAGCTGAAAAGAAAAACCTAAGCTGTCTGTCAAACTGTAAATTGTTCTCAGTAATATGTACCAACCTGTACCAATCTTTTCCTTTCTTCCAGGACTTCCCTTTCTTCCCATGTCGAGGTAGCCTTGAAAGATAAAGTTCAATAAGGTCTAGGGTTGGTATGCTCTGGCTAAATACCAATGCCTTATCGCCCACATCAGAACTCATAGCTAGAATGTCAAGCAGGAGTACCATTTTGCCACTGTAATCAAGCTCTTTATAGTTATTTTCATGAAGAAGATCATTCCACCAATTCTGAAAAGTGATAAGGTTGTTGGTCAGCATTACGCTCCACGAAAACAACAATAGTAATACAAACTACAAAGTAAAGCTTTTTTTGAGAAACAAAGTAAAGCCTTTCTTATTAGTCTTCCTACTAAAAAAACAATGGCATATTTCAAATAATGCCAAATGGACAGTAAAAGAAATGTAAAGAAGTGCATAATGAATAAAAACCAACATTATAGTTTGTCCAAATCCATACCTTATGAAAAATGCCATCTTTTTTTCCTGGCAAAATTTCATTCACATTTTTCTCTGCAAAGCAAGATATCTTACCATTGTTAGATATACTTTTAAGAAAGTGTCATCAAATACGTGAATATATACATTCACCCAACTGCATTGTATATCCAGTTCTATCATACACCAATACCGGGAACATTCATGCAAGTCCTGGAAAAAACAAGGAAAGAAACAAATACCTCCCAAACCCAAATTATAATCAATGTTTTCGTCACTAGAGCTGTCATCTGCAAGAAAATTCTCAACGGCATCTCCACTTCTCTCATAGTCTTTGTTGTCTTTTCTTAGTTGCACAATCCCCGGATGGTTCCATATCTAATAACCAACAATAAGGTCATATATTACAACAACTCGCATGAAAGACAGATAGACACACAATAGACTAGCAGACAATAATTAGCATTACATATAATGTCAATAAAGGTCTACGAAACGCTTAGGAGTCCCTTTGTGTAAGACTAGATGCTTTTGTGATCATGCATACATGAGTGTGTGCGTGAGTGAGTGCATGTTATTATAATGAATAATGGAAGTTGGGAACTTAAAGCGGGAGCCTTATGCACTGGGTACGACCTTTTAATGGAAGTTGGGAACTTAACAAGTGTGCGAATCTATTACCTGAGCTAAGGCCTGGTAGCCGGCAAAAAAACTTCTCTTCCCTATCTTTTCATTATAATCATTGTCCTTGGTAAATCCATGGACATCAAGAAATCTCTTGTATAATTTCCTCTGTAAGGTTGAAAGTTTCACAGCTATTACAAACACAGTTTTTGGTGGTAAGTCCTTCTTCACAACAGTCATGTCCATTCTCTGAACAAATCCTTTCAACTGTTCATAAAGAATATGAGACCGTTGGTTCATGATTTTCACATCATCCACGGTTGAATTAGTATGCTGACCGTACTCTATGGGATTTTGGAATCTGCATGCAAAGGGATGGAATTTTAAGATACATTAAAACAACAAAAATAAATTAGACAGAAAACAGGGTTTAAATGATGAAATTTTACCGATTCCGAAACTCATGGCTGCTTCCAAGAAAACCTTCCCTTACAAAATCAACCATCTGCAAAAAAAATTTAAATTTAAATGAATCAAGATAGTAGGTTGCGTGTAAGAAATGGCAAAATGAATAGCTTTCTGAGTAACTCACACAATAATATTCCATGAGATTGTTCTGAAGTGGTGATCCAGTTAATGCTATCCTTCTCTGGCATTTCACTTGTTTTAAGGCTTGGGTTACATCAGCCCTGGTATTCTTAATAACATGGGCCTCATCACAAACAAGTATATCCGGTCCATCCTGAGTTGGAAATGTAACAATAAGAAAGACTCTTTAAAAAAAAAGATCGCTTGGATCATGCTAAATAAAGTATCAATGTGTGCTAATGACAGTATGTGTTTAACAGCTTACAATCTATATATCAACTTGACAAGAATAATATTAATCCAGAAAGTTTGGCTTTAAGTCCAACGAGTTGAAGAAGAAATAATGCACATGGTAACAAAGAATTGAAAAAGCATGACGTGTAAAGACAAATATAGAGGTTAACGTCAACCTACCTGTAAGGCACGACAAATTTCTGTAGCTATCTGCCTATCCTTCACATGCTTCCCAAAGGATAAGTTTCTAAAAGCAGAGTAGCCAATTAGAAAAACACCACCCTTCCTTCTCCACTTTGCAAGCAACTCTGCTCTTCTATCCCTGACAAACAAGGGAAATCATGTCAGCATCTTGGTGTCACCACTCACCATCTCCCCAATCGGAGATATAATTTGCTAATGACTGCAAGACATCCCTCAAAACAACAACTTCATTTCTTAATGCCATCATCTTAGATCAATGTTTGATAGGGATGAGAATGGAATGAGACAAAATAGATATATTTCAGCAAACCTTGACACATCTTCTAGCATGAAGATGCGAAGAGGCTTTAGTTCTGAAGGTCTCCACTTCATGAACTCTTGACGCCAATTGTGCAGCACGTTCACAGGGGTGACAATAAGTGCGGTTTTTAATCCCAAATCAATACTTCTCATTGCAGTGTACAAAAAAGCTATGACCTACGAAAGCAATTTGACAAGTTATGTGGAGTATATAAATCAACCACTTAAAACAACCTTGCATTTTGCAAGATGGCTATTCGACTAAGCTGCTGGGTCATTCCACATGCACCAACACCTATTTCAAAACAAAACTCGCACATCTAAATAAACACTCACAGTTCTTGGGAAGAGTTTGCAATAGACAGAATAATACCTGAAAAGTTTTACCAAGGCCCATCATGTGAGCTAGAATGCAACCAAGACCTTTATCCCCAGCCTTCACTTTTCTGACTGACTGTATGATATTCTCCCACATAAATCTCACACCCGTAATCTGTAATAATGAATCAGACCTTTACTTCATGTTGCAGTTTGTAACAAGGACAAGATAACAGCACTATATCATTAAAAGTTATCGACACATAAAGCAATAACAAAAGATACTTAGTACCTTTAGTGAAGGAGATCAAATTAAGATAACCATGTGAAACAAGAATAGGTTTAAAAGAACATGACAACGAAGTTCAAGTGAAAAAGGTGAGCCATGGAAATCTTATCATGTGTCCTGACATGACACAAGGCAAACAATATACTGCCAGTTTTTCAATAGCTGAAAATAACTGATAAGAAACTGTCATTAAATCGGCTTGACAGTTCCTTAACCAAACATAGCACAAGGGAATTCATTCAAGAAAATCCAACAAACAAATAGTTAACAGATCAAGCAAACCTGATGAGCCTTCAATTTAGCTGAGATGCTTGGAGGAATTCTGACAGCTTCTTCACCTTTCTCCCTCACAACATTCACTACATAACCAACCGATGCATCACCTAGCACTTCAGTGTTGGCGCCTTCGGGTAATCTCCCATTACAGGTTGCAGAGCTCTTCATCTTAGATTTGGCAGAAAATTGTACTTGCAAAGACATCAAGCGCTCTTGACGTTCCTACAGAAGAAAAGTTTATGAAAAAACTTCTAGTACCACAACATCTTTTTTTATTACAAAATCAGCACTAGATTGTACCTTTTCAATTGCAATTTTCCTTCTGGTTTCTTCTCCTAATTCAGTGTCATCAATGATCCTTCGAATTTTCTGCTTTCTCCTCCTCTTAGAACTGACACAGAGACAAAATATGTTCAGAAACACAATAATCTGAGAAAAAACATAAGTATCCAATGCTCAAGAATAAAAGTTCACCGCTTTCTATTCAATAGATACATGCCTCAGCAATGGGGAGGGAGAGAGAGAGAGAGAGAGAGAGAGAGAGAGAGAGAGAGAGAGAGAGAGAGAGAGAGAGAGAGAGAGAGCAGTATACTAAATATACCTTACAGTAACATCTATCTCTGAACCTGAACTATCTGAATCACTATCAGAGCTAGAATCTATCAAATCCCCACAACCTATTGCTTGCTCTAATTGTGACGTCAATGTCTTTAGAAGACTTGGGCAACAGAAACAACATTGCCAGCCAGAGGTCTGGGCATCAGATAAGCATTCCTCTCCAATATTCCTCTTTATACAAGTTGTACAAACCAACGTCTTGCAAGAGTTACAATTTACTAGGTCCTTGCTTTGTCCACACCACCCACAGTAACACTTAGTGCAATCAGGATCCTGCACACCTTCATAGGTCAATAAAAGATCTAGCATTTACTTGAACAAATGATATGAAATATTAGCATTAAATGATGTAGGAAATCAGGTAACACTATAATTCCTTAATATGATATATAGAGAGAATATTTCTAACTGAAGATATCTATTCACTAGATACTATAACATCAGTTGCTAATTTGCTGTTAATCAGTAATTAGGTTAATTCATTTAATTACCTGCGCTCTCGTGAACACGTTACACAAAATGTTCAGATAAAGAAAGAAGAGTCAAGAAAGGTTCCTCATGGCCATACCTTCACATGCATCTTTTCTTCCAATAAACATCTGCAATCTGCACAAACAATCACCTTCAGAAGTGGATGTGAACACACTTTGAGAGCATGCTTACTGCAAGCAGTGCAGTAGAGCTTATCATTCAGACTCTGTGAAGGAAGACCACCACTGGCAGATATGCAGATATTTTCTTCCACATAGGACTGGTCCTCGGATTTTATTGCATTGCAGTCTGAATTATCTTTCAGTGGAGTGTCATCATCACTATCTATTAGTACAGTTCGACTCCTCTTATTATCAATGTTTAGCTCCTCATCCTCACTCAGACGCTTGGAGCCTCTTGCTTCACTGGAACTAGTCACCGGAGATGCACCGTTACTCGTTATGCTTTCTTGGTCAATGTTATTAGCGATTTCCAGATCTTCATCAATTTTCTCGAACTACATTAGCACAAGGATAAACTCAAAAAAGTTAATTAAACTGCAACTTCAAAATTGAGGAGCGAGATATAGGGTAATGCAAGCACAGGATACCTGTTTACGTCTCTTTCGATGTCTCCTTCGTTTCAAACGAATTTGAAGCTTCCGATCAACATTTACATCATCTTCTTCTTTGACCTTTCAATGAAAAAGTACAGAAATACTATCAACTTCAGTAAAACTCAACTGGGTGTTAAAAAGAACATGTGTCTATGTTAAGTCTAATCGCAACATAGGATTAATTATCAACTGCAACTGGTGAAAAAAGTAAATAAACATATTGACATATTCGTATACAGAAAGGGTGAATCAAGTGTGTAACCAACATTGTACCGAAAAGACAAGTTTGTAAGCAACAAGAATATGACCATCAGATAATAACACAGAAAGACATCCAATCAAATACCAGTAATGATAATGTTAGGTGCAACAAATAAGACCACATAATACTCATTCAAAAATTGTACGAATATAGGGAGACTGAAAACCAACGGAGGGTTTATTAGAGGATTTCTATATGAATGTCTACAACCCCAGACAGTAGTGAAAACACTTTCGACATCTTCCAACTAATATCAATTACAATGTAACAGCCCTTTCCATGTTAATTTGTTTTTTTATATAAGAAACCAAGTTTTACTTTATAACAAAAGTTACATACAAAATGAAAACAAAATAAGTAAATGTAGCAAAATAAATTTGTGTGTGACATGAAAATATATTCAAATATGATGTTGGGACAACACAACCATACCTTCCTATAATTTTTCTTTTGTTCTTCAGTGAGATCCAGTTCTCTTTCGTTTGCAACAGCGTCTGCAACAAATGGATCACCCGAATTGCCATCAATGTCATCAATCTCCTCTACCTCATCAACCCCAGGGAACTTGAGTCCCATCTCAGCAGCTTGCTGTGGCGTACTGGCCAAATAAACAGAAGCCCAGTGCTTACTGCCAAACGAGGCACCACCCGCAGTTGCACCATCAGAAAATAATTTGTTAAAAGAACCCCAGTAATCAACCTCAGCTGTCTCAACATCCTTGATTCCATCTACGACTAGTTTTTTCTGCAGAAATCCACTAGCGCCATCCTCCAATAGTTTACCATGTCGCCTAAGTCCACCAAGCAGAATCATGTACCATCAACTTCATACCTTGCAGAATCAATAGTGCTAAAAGGAAAGAACTGTACCTTCTCACAGGCCTGTGGGTTTGGAGATACTTCTCTGCATCAGCCCTTGACTCGGTAAATTCGCCAGTCTCTTGAGATCCTACCCAGTGTATCCGTCTTTTCCAAGCTTCAGTGCAGCAACCATTAGGAGCCTGACTTTCAATGCATTTATAAAGGCTTGGTAGCTCAATGCCGGCCCCATCAAGTTGTTCCTATTTACAAAAGCATATAATGATAAGAGGCCAGAAATTAAAATTACATTTCCCTTGTTTATATATAATTATATTACCAAAACTGCAAAAGAATTATAGAAAGAATGTGGTTACGATCCCTTGGACACCCGAATAATTCAAAAGGCACAATCTATTTTATTGTCTTTTAATAAAAATAAAATAAATAAAGGCATTGCATGGAAGGTCCACAACAAAATATGACAGGTGTGCTAATACCAATCATCTAATTATTTGGAGTTCTCATCAATATAAATGCAGCACTCAGAACCAAATAAGGGGTGATTAGCTAAATTCATATCCAACTTGTACAGTACAAGTCACAAGAAGAGGCAAATCTTTCTCGCTCTGATTTATATTTTCAGTAGAAATTTATCACATTAGAATACATGCGAGCTCTAAACAATGCATTAGAAGCCAAAGATTTACTCAGATTGAAGAAAGAAGCAGACCAACAAATGAGCACTCTCAGTCTCAAGTTCATCAAGCTCGGCTTGCCACTCTTCTATCAAAGTATCCATTTCATTCGCAACAGCTGCTTCCAACTATAGACAAGAAAAATAATGCATAAGTGATTGAAAAGGACAATGTAATCCAGAAGGAGGAATTTGGAGGAAGAAACTAACATCATCTCCATGAAGGGTTTGTGCCAACTCCTCTCTTACTTCACTCTCCACCTTGGCAAGAGACTCTTTCTCAAGTGCCTCTTGAGCCTCTGCAGCCTAAATTGAGCGTCAAAGAAAAAACCAACAAATTAAGCATCACGTGCATAAAACACATATAAACGTATGTGTATTTGTGTGTATGCGTAGTTGGAATCAACGTTAATCAGTACGGAAAAAATAGATACCTTACTCTCAACCTCCAAAAATTCAGCAATAAGCTCCTCTATTTCTTTATCAGATAATGGTTCCTGCATACAAAGATCAAATCATCATATTTTTGGAAATTAAAAAGGGGTTTCTTCCAAATCTTAGATAATAGCACTAGAATGCGACAACAATGTCTAATGGGTTCGTAGCTTCATTGAGAAAATATATTACGGCAAATAAAAAACTATCATAAGTGAGGACTTGCCTCTGGCTGCAATTTTCCATCTTCGCCGGATATCGGTACTTCATCAACTTCTGAGTCATCTATGAAAGAATCACTATCACTGCCACTAGAAGCACTCCCAATATTTTCCACTTGCTCGCCGTTTTCCTCCATTTGCTCCCCCACTTGCTCGTGGCTTTCCTCCATTAACTACTCAACCAGACCAAGCCTCAAAACAAGTACCTAAGAAGGCCAAAACAATGAACAAAACAGGTCACTTTTTGTAACGCCGAGTTGCTCTCACCTAAAACCTTCCTACTCTCCGATAAGCGAAGTTAGGAACAAAACCCAAATGATAACATCACCACCGTAATCAGTCTAATAAGTTGAGTGTTAAGACTAAAGCAACTCCAGTCCAACTCCTCAAATGATAAATACATAATCTCCAACAGCCAATGCAAAAATGGCATAGGAGTTCACACGAAACCTTCATCCGTTACGATATCATTGAATCCATTTACTTTTACGGATATAATAATCAAAGTTTCCGAAACCATTTTTTTTATTCAACAAAGTGAAACCCACATTCCAAGTTACATAAAAACCAAAACTTTTGATATGGGGAAACAAAAAGACCAAATTTTACATCGTCCCCAAATAACCAAACGAGCAAAAGATCAAAATTTCGCGCCGTTTCCAAAGAACCAAGCCACTCTCAGTACTGGGTATTTCCCATTTTCCACCGAACCGGTGTCATTTCACAGCACCCAACAAAAAGAAGAAGAAGAAGAAGAAGAAGAAGAAGAAGGGAACCTGAAACCACTTACCGGAAAAGGGAAGACGGGGCCGGGCACGTAGCTACGGTGACGCGAGAAATGCAGAGCCTTCGTATTCTCTCTCTCTCTCTCCTGCGTGTGCAGAGCAGAATATGCCCCGTGTAGTATGTACTCTGTGTGATGTTTGAATTTGTTTGAATCCAATTGAATGGGGAGGAAAGAAATGGTTGATTTCCCCAAAAAACCGAAAAAAAATTGGAAGAAGTCGGATGGCTTGGCAGCCTTGTTGGCTACATACACACACACTTCGCAATTGTTTTTCTTTTTGGTCACCCAAATTGTGTGTAATTTCAAGATCTAGGGTTTTGGTTTTGTGTTATTTTACGATTGGTTGGTGTATATTTATTGGGAGGGCCGTCACGTCACATTGGGAAAGTGAGGGTTATTTGGTTAATTTGTAATGGTATTGGTGAATTTGAAAAAATTTAAACCTAGCCACTCCCAACGTTTTGTATATAATTAGCAGAAAACGCATACTATTATCGCACTTATGATATAACAAGAATTTACGAAGCTTATACAATAGAATTCGCCACAATTTCTTTTTTCTAGATACAATATGCACTAAAATAAAAGCATATTTTGGAGATATATTTCAAAATTTACTCTATTGAGTAAGATTTTTATTTTTTCGTAGTTTAGATATTAGGAAAGTGAGAATTATTTGGTTAATTTGTAATGGCATTTGTATATTTTAAAATATTTGTCATTGTTGAGATTTTTAATAAAATGCATAATATTCTTGCACTTATGATAAAACAAGAATTTACGAAGCTTATGAAATATAATTCGTCGCAATTTTTTTTTTCTAGATAAAGATTGCGTTGAAATGAAACCATCTCTTAGGGATATATTCCAAAATTTACTCTATTGAGTAAGATTTTTATTGTTTTCATTGTTTGAAACTTAAACTACGATTGGTTTAATGCTTAGAGCAGAAAATTTTATTGTGTAACGGAACACCGCTTTTTAATAAATAAATAAAAACTCTGAAATTACATTTCAGTGATTTATTTTCCAAATGCTCCAAGATTCTTTTAGTATTCAAGATGAATCAATAATCGTAAATACTTTGTTGCTTTTAATCTACAAATATTTATCCTTTCGATATTCAAAAGGTCCTAAATTTGAGTCCTTCTAAAGAAACACAAACGTTAAATACAAATCACACATACACTATTTTGTTCCCTAACCGAAAAAGTTCGCAATACATTCGCAATGAAGCCATCGTCGAAGTGAAATAATGGCAGTATATTTTTTCTTCAAAAAAAACCAAACAAAACAAAAGCTAAAAATAGAAACTAATTGGACCAATTGAAGTGACCTGACCCAAATCGGGCGGGCTTTACAGCTGCAAATCTGCAACATGTCCCTACATGTTTTTATGAAATAATATCTTTCTTTTTTTACAAATTAATTTAGAACTCGTATGATAAATTGATTCAGTGTTTTTAAATTTTTAAATAAAATATTTTTGAAATAAATTCTTAATAAAATTATTAGTTCATTCTGAAAAAAATTTAAAAATGCTTTCAATTATTTTCTCTTAAAACGCTTCCAAACATTTAAAAGTCCTTGCAGACGAACTCTTAACCAGATGAACTCTTAATTCGGTCATCTTCTTTCTTTGACCAAGACTTGACAAACAAGAAAAAAATGAAGGCAAAACACAAAGCAGCTGCTCCTCCCACAACGATTGCCACCGATTCATTTCCCCCATTTCCTCCATCTCCGTCTCTATGTTTTTCTGCTAATAAAAACAATAAATTGGAAAGATTAAATTAATGATTAATCATTCATGATGTTAATTACGTTCATTTAAAAATAAATAAATAAATATATATATATATATCAAGAATGTTATTGTACTAACTATTAAGTTAATAATGCATTGTTACGTAAAAAAAATAGAAATGCATGAAATTCAACGTCATTGGTTCCGAATATCGCCCATAGGTTTACTCTGAATATTAAAAAGCAGTTAAAATATGAAAAATCATTCTTAGATTCAATCACCTGGATCATGTGGGTGCTCATCTGGTATCTCATCTGGATGATAACTATAGCTCAACACTCCTCCAAATAAATCTGCCCAGAAACAGCGCCACCACATTCCTCTTCTGCAATTTGCACCGCCCTACCCACACACTTTCCACACTCACATCCCCCCAAGCCCCCGGAACATTGCGCCATCACTTGCACCGCCTCATACCCCGTTTTGCAAAACCCACCACCGTCAGCAACTTCGCTCTCCAAGGCAGCAAACGCAGCGTCTCTCATCTCCTCGAACACCGCCGCCACCCCATTTGCCAAATCCTCCCCATAAGTCTTGTGCATTAATCTATCGTTAAAAGGCTCTGAGTCGACCCCATCGAGCTCGTAGTGCACGTAGCATCCATGCAGCTGAACACGAGCCGAACCTGATTCTCGATAAGTTATGGAGAGTGTTGACGCAGCTGTGACACTCTTCGTTGCTGAGGTAATGTCGGCACTGGAACAGGCCGGAAATACCAGCCTCGTTGTTGTCTAAGCCGGCTTCGGCATGCCTGTAGAACTTGGATTGGGAGGAATGTGATGTTAGTTGTTGCAAAAGAGACGAAAGGGTTTGTCGTGGGACTTGCGATTTAGTTGGGGGAGTTGCAAACGTTCGATTTGCACATTTTGTGTATACCAAACTGTTGTAGTCGGAATTAGGGTTTGCAGATGATGTGAGAGAAATAAGTAGTAGTGATGCAAAACGGAGAAGAGTTGAATCCATTAGGGTTTGAAGCTGTTTCAATGAAATTGCATATTTTCAATATGTTGGTTTTCTTTTTGTGTTTTGGGATATGGGAAGTTGAGGTTTAGGGGTTTTTTTTTTTCCTGCCCACTTCTATCTAACTACAGTGAAAACTTGTGAATTTCTTCACCAGAAAGCTTACAAACTTTTTAAATCAGCAGCAAAGAAAAACAAGTATAATTAGGTGTATTGTTACGGAATTAATCATGTAAGGTTTTGCGTATGTTGAACAAAGATTTGCATTGATAATATAAACTATAAATTGAGAAATGCTATGGGAGACTCGCAAAAGTGGGGCTCTGCATAGATTATCTGTCACATCATGTTTTTTACATAATATTTTATAATGTTGAGACTAGAATTAACATTAAACAGTAAGGTGATAGAGAGTTCATGGAGAGACTCCCACTTTTGAGAAAGTCCCATTAACATTTCTAGTCCTTTATAATGTGAGTACGAGAATTAAAGTTAAGTTGTGAGGTGGCAGATGGTCCATATAGAGTCTCACTTTGGAGAGAGCCCCCGGTAGCATTCCCCTTATAAGTTATGTTGGGAATATTCAAAATAAGGCCGAATGACTTTTAAAGTGTCAATAACAACTGTCGTATAATATGAATATGCAAAACAAGGAGCATGAATTAAAATAATGGTTAATATTTATTAAAGTCCTCTGGCAAAAAATTACTAAATATAACTGTAACATCCCACATCGCCCAGGGGAGTGATCCTTAAATGTATATTCCCATCCCTACCTAGCACGAGGCCTTTTGGGAGCTCACTGCTTCGGGTTCCGTAGGAACTCCGAAGTTAAGCGAGAATGAGGTCAGAGCACTCCCAGGATGGGTGACCCACTGGGAAGTTGTTCGTGAGTTCCCAAAAACAAAACCGTGAGGGAATGGTAAGCCCAAAGCGGACAATATCGTGCTACGGTGGTGGAGCGGGCCTAGGAAGTGGTCCGCCCTGGGCCGGGATGTGACAATTGGTATCAGAGCCAATCCCTGGCCGGAAGTGTGCCGACGAGGACGTCGGGCCCCTAAGGGGGGTGGATTGTAACATCCCACATCGCCCAGGGGAGTGATCCTTAAATGTATATTCCCATCCCTACCTAGCACGAGGCCTTTTGGGAGCTCACTGGCTTCGGGTTCCGTAGGAACTCCGAAGTTAAGCGAGAAGGAGGTCAGAGCACTCTCAGGATGGGTGACCCACTGGGAAGTTGCTCGTGAGTTCCCAAAATCAAAACCGTGAGGGAATGGTAAGCCCAAAGCGGACAATATCGTGCTACGGTGGTGGAGCGGGCTCGGAAAGTGGTCCGCCCCGGGCCGGGATGTGACAATAACAACATACAATCATTTAGTATTACCATATCACGTGTTGTACTATAATTAAATTATAATAAAATAAATGCACTTATTGTAAAACAAATGAAATTAGTAACATTATTGCGACCGTCGAACTCACGCTGATTCATCGTGGTTGAGAGTGGTTAGTCAGTTTCCAAATAGTTATGTACTTTCAAGCACTTGTTATAACTTTGTGTATAAACTAAATTAACAAAGTTAATAATTAATTATCATGGGTGGGAGGTATTAGAAGCTTCTAATTAACTTGTTAATTCGCAGGTGGTCAACGAAGAGAAAGCTGGCCCCGGCCTCATCGGACTTAAATTTGAAAGAAAAAAATTTACAGGAAAAATATTGGAAAAGTTCATGTGGTTGAAACAAAATTGCATGGTTGGAAAGACCAATTGTAGTCACTGCGAGTAAGAAAAGTAAAAAGTAAATAACAGATAAATAGTAACAATTAGTAAGCACATTTTATTCTTAGCAAAAATAAAATAAATAATTTTTCTGTTTTTATCCAGTTCGATGTGACTGAATTTGTACAAATTTAGATTTGTTAAGAAAATTACGGTTGTAAACACCATTCAAAGTGTAACAAACTTCCCTAACCAAACGTCTTCAATAAAAACCTCAAATCTCCACAAACTATTCCTCACTGCAGCACACACCCTCTCTTCCCTAGTAGATTATACGTTTCCGGCGGCCGGTAACGAAGTTGGTTAATTAATCGGGTTCCGGCGGCCGGTAGCAACGTCGGTCGGTTAATTAGTCGGGTTGTCGTTGGCAGTCTGTACGATACGAGTGCGTACGTACATCAACACATACATTTATTTGTTTGAATACAGGAGACAAATCTAAAAATCCAAACACCACCCTTAACAAATTCACCTTGTTTTCTTTTTGTTAATTAATTGTCTGCAGGATTTACTTTATTTAATTACAGTGATTGCTGCGACAATTAATTAACTAATTAATTAATTACGTTTTCCGATTTAATTACAAATCATGCCACGGCCGTTCAACTCCTCGTTCCAGCTGCTGGAGATCAACCTGATCTCGGCGCAGGACCTGACGCCGGCGTCGAAGGCAATGCGGACGTTCGCCGTCGCGTGGGTCAACCCGCAGAGGAAGCTGACGACACGTGTCGACCAGAACGGCCACACCAATCCGACGTGGAACGAGAAGTTCGTCTTCCGAGTCGACGAAGACTTCCTCCGTGACGACACCTCGAAGATCATGATTGAGATCTACGCCTCCGCGTGGCTCCGCGACGTCCTGATCGGAACCGCCGCGGTGGTGGTGAACAATTTGCAGAACAAGTCGAAAATGCGATTCATGGCGATCCAGCTCCGCCGCCCCTCCGGCCGCCCGCAGGGGATTCTGAACATCGGGCTCGGCCTCCTGGATAGCACAATGCGGAGCATGCCGCTCTACAGCGAGCTCAGCTCCTCCGCCGTCGGATACTGGGATCTGATGGAGGGAAAAACCGGCAACCACCAAAAGAGCAACGGTTCCAATTCGAAGGACCAAGACAAATTCATCATCTTCCAACGATCTCAGAGCGATCGGACGGGTAGCGATTACGGATTCTCGAAATCCAGGCCTGCATCCTCCATCTGCGACGGCGTCACAAAAAGCAGGCCGCCGAGCTCCATCTGCAACGCCGCCGCATACAAGCCCAAACATCAAGCCTCCTTCTGCAATAGCTCGATTGTGAACGGATCTGAGGTCAGCACCGTGCAAAAGAAGGGGAATGTGAACGGGTCTCTCTGCTCCGACGTCGGACCCTCGCCGTCTGTGGTTGCGGCGGCGATCGCCAAGGGAATCTATCCGTTGCCGTACACCGGGCCCCGCGCGCAGCCGGCCAATGATGCCGGGAGCTCGTTGCTTGACGAATGGACGGACCAAGACAGCGTGGAAGGGTTAAAGACCAAGATCGAACGTTGGCGGACGGAGCTGCCGCCGGTGTACGACTGCGCCAAGAACGCTGCCAAGAGCTCCCAAAATCAGAAGCTACTCCAATCGTCGCACCGCCGGCCCAGCAGTCAGAAGACGCGGCGGAGACGCGGCAGCGGCCGGGGATTGTTCTCCTGCTTCGCATTGGGTTGCGAGATCTCGATCTCTTGCGGAGGCAAGCCGAAGAAGAAGAAGAGCGGGAAGGTCCACCTCGACGACGACTCGTACTTACAGTAGACGAACAGCTCAAAACGCCGCCGTTTCCTTAATTTTTCTTGGGCGGGGGCGGGGACGAGATAAAAAACGACACTGATTTTATTGACGTTGATGCTGCTGATTGCATGTTCGGCAAAGCTAAGCCGCGCGGAGGTAGATTTTACGCATGAGAATTTGTTGATAGCTTACGGGATTGAATGTCGTTTTTTACATTTGAAATTAAGATTTGTAATTATTTTGGAGTTGATGAATTGGATGAACGTTGGGTCGTTTGGATGGAGAAAAAAATTGTTTGGTACGTTTTATAATTAGAGAGGAATTCAGGGTGTGATTTAAAAAAAAAAAAAAAAACAAACGGTATAATTAGTGGCGGACCTCTAAAAGGGCACTACACTTGCTTTAAAGGCAAAATTTGATCCTCCATTAAACTTGCTTAAAATCTAGGTTACCGGTCGACGTAGTTTTCGAGAAATTTTTCATTGTAATGGAAATACGGGTAGTACACTACGTGTTGTTATGTAAGTGGTGAAAAATTTTATTTTTTAAGTTATTAACTTTTTAAAACAGATATCACACTATTTGTATAATAATACGTGATGTATCATCCCGTGTGCCAGTCACACTAAAAAATCTCTGTAGTTTTCATGTCAGTTTGATTGTAACGCAGGTGTTAACCTATATGATTAAGTAGATCTTGCTTTTTGAATCATTATTGTCGGACCTCTAAAAGTGCACTAACTTGCTTTAAAGACCAAATTTGATTCTGCGTCAAATTTGTTTAAAATAATATTAACCAATTGACGTAGTTTTCGTATTAGTTTGATGACAAGCTCTTCGTTGATTTGCTTAGAGCCGAACAAGTGCTTTGTTAATCTTCCAAATTATTCCTAAACCCAAATTCTTTATCTTCTATTAATTTAGCTCGTCGAGATTCGCTACTTCGTTTATATCTCTAATTTGCCAATGTGGTTTACTTATGTTTTCATTGGTTTTTTGTTATTGTTGTGAATACAATAACATATGTTTGCAATAAGAGTCGATGAATTTCAATCAAGATCACTAATTTAGTATCGAATTAACCATTTACATGAATCGAATTCAAAACTTTTCACATACAAATTTAAAATAATATACTAAACTTTAGTGCTAAGTAACAGCATTTACATGGTGGTGGGCCCCATAAATTTAAACAGGCAAATTATCCAAGAAAGAACACAAGCCAACATCGAGGATGTAACACGTAATATATCATTATATGTGCTGATTACAAAAATCAAAATATGTATGTAAAAAAGTTAATAATATAAAAAATAAAATTTTATACCTTATATTAAAATACGTATTGTACCATCAATCCATGTTTCTATTTGAAAACATTCTTAAGGACTGGACTATTCTCCCCCGTCCTGCTTTTGCTTTTGCACAATGGCGGCAGGTGGAGCTCTGCTCTGAAACCCTACACAGACTACAAAAATCGAGAAGGTAATTAGCATTTCTTTTATTTCTTCAATTTTATTATTTGTTTCAAAACTCGATTTAATGATTTTTTTATTTTATTTGAAAAGTAGCCTCTGAACTTTCAGCAGGAATCGGATCATCTCATAAGCAAACCCAAGATCATTCTGACATACTAACACGGATCTTTTGATTTAACGACTATAAATAAAAAATTTTTCTAAATTTATAATAATTGTAACCACTGAATTAAAATTTAACTGTCCATTTTATTGGGTCAAGAGTATCCGAGGATTTACCTCGAGGAGGATCCAATTCCCTTTCAGCATTATCGAGCTTGATTACCTTTTGTTATTTTTCAATTTTTGCATGTACGGTTTTTGTAATTTGTTTGCTGTCAGACCCAAACGCTATGAATTTTCAGCTTTTTATTATTATTATTTTTTATTCCTGGGAGTTGAGAGATCAGTCCGTACAGTGTGTGACAGAAATCAGATTCTGTGCTTTATCTTTGTTTTTGTTTTGCTTCTACTTGTTTGGATTGTGGGAAAGTTTGTGGCTGAGGAGGAAGAGAAAAAGCTTCGGGCTTTCTTGTTTCTCCTACATTTTTCTCGGAATCCAAGCAGAGCCTTTTGAGTTTTTGTTTAGTGGGTTTTGATTTTGAACTGCTTGTGATCGCTATGTCCGAGCTTTTTGAGTTTTTGTTTAGTGGGTTTTGATTTTGAACTGCTTGTGATCGCTATTTGGTGAGGGAGAAAAAAGGTCGAAGCTTTGGGATTTATCACATTTTCTCGGCAGCCAAACAGAACCTGATGCCAAAAAAGATATAGAATTCGGTGCAGTAGGACTTGTGGTTAATTGATTTGTGGGATTGCAGGTGAATAGGGCACTAAAATATCCAGTGTTTGGGGGGTCGTGTTTTTTCTGTGGGGATGTGGGGTTTTTTGGAATTAGAATTATTTTTGGTCAACCACTTGTATTTTGCATTTTTGCATTTGTTGGAAGAGGAACAGTTAGGAATGAATTGTTAAATCCAACACGAAGTTAGCAGGGTTTGCGTTTTTTGTTACTTGACATAAACACGAATATGATATGATTTGTTAGTATGCGTGTCCAACATTACTTGACATAAACACAAATATGATATGATTTCACTATTATATTAAGAAACGAGTCAGATTAGTGTCAAATATGAACAACCTAATTTTAACTTTTAGGTTATAACCATGGAAGAAAAAATCAATAATATCGGCGAAATATCCTCGATATTATCATTTTTTTGGAGATCGGATATTTTTTTAACTATCCAAATAATTTTTGTCAAAATATCAAGATATTATCAATAATATCAATAATATTACGATATTTTTGAAATTATCGATAATATCACCACATAATACTAAAAAATACTTAAATATGTTGAGAAAACTCAACACATACTTCACTTGATCATAGCCCAAAGGGCGAACAAGATATGGCTTACTGAGTAGGGGAATGTGGGTTTTATAGGACAAATTGCGAGGGCAGTGAGCAAGCATGGGCGATGTGGGACTCTCCCAATAGGAGAAAATTAGAATTTCGGCCGAAAATTTACACTCACTTTAAACGGCCATAACTTTGTCAAAACTCAACGAAATCAAGCAAGACAAAAACTAAAGTTGTAGCCCTCGAAGAGACGAAGAGAATGGTACCTCACACGACATCTGAATCGTCGTGGTTTGGCCGGAAAATGCCTCGAAAGTCACTGAGATCGCCGGAAACTGGGTAAGATTCAAATGAGTATAACTTTTTTAATACTCAACGAAATTGAGTGAAACAAAAAGGAAAGTTGTACTACTCGACGAGACGAAGAGATTGATGCCTTGCACGCCGGCCAACTCGCCGTGGTTTGGCCGGAAATTGCCTCGAAAGCCACTGAGGTCGCCGAAAATTGGGTAAGATTCAAATGAGTATAACTTTTTCAATACGCAACAAAATTGAGTGAAACAAAAAGGAAAGTTGTAGCCCTCGAAGAGACGAAGAGAATGGTACCTCACACGACGTCTGACTCGTTGTGGTTTGGCCGGCAATTGCCTCGAAAGCCACTGAGGTCGCCGGAAACTGGGTAAGATTCAAATGAGTATAACTTTTTCAATACTCAACGAAATTGAGTGAAACAAAAAGGAAAGTTGTACTACTCGACGAGACGAAGAGATTGATACCTTGCACGCCGGCCAAAATTCAATTGACACACTCCTGGCTTCCAAAATTCAATTCTTTTACTTTATATAAACTTGAAAAAACATAATCGGCATCTAAATTAAAGTTTAGTCTTATTCTTATGTGTAAGAAATTTAAAGTGTCAAATTCGGCACATTATTCTTCATCATTTTATTCACTTCCTTTTTTTTTTTTAATATCCTAAATAAAACCTCCAAATATTGTACTAATTAATTATATATAAATGATTATGGTGTGTTTAAACTTCTTTCATTAATTACTACATATTTTCTATACTCACAATATTTGCCAGCTCGCTATATAATCAACTTAAATCAGTTAAATCCATCATGCAATGCATTTCCTTCCAATTTTTTGTGATAAACTAATAGATAATTGACTAAATAAACATCCTACAAAGTTTCATTAAAAATTTCCAAGTTTTTCTTACAATTTCCGTGGTTTCCATGTAATTTTTATCGATATCGATATTATCCCGATATTTCCATCGATATTTCCGTGTTTTCGGACTACCGATATTTCCGATATTTTCTTCCTTGGTTATAACTATGTCAATTTACTTTGTATTGTTGTTTTGTTGACCGAAAATTTTAATTTGGTGACAGCCTCCTTCCAACACAATTTCACTCTTACTCAAAGTCGAATATAGTTTTATTATTTTTCGGACTCACTCAAGATTAAATGATCCCTTGACCCAAATATCCGAACATGTGTAACCATATATCAAATTTGTGGAACTAGATATTTGGAACTAAACTTTTAGAGTTTTATTAGCGCTGAATTTATATCATTGTGGAACTATAATGACATAACTTTAGAATTATCAGAGAGACGGGCAGAGGGCTTACTTCCAACAACACTGATATTATCCCCATCTTGATAAGTATCACATGCACAATTCATCAGGTGTGAGATTTTATCACAAAAGTCTCGGTATTAGTTGAAGTTGAATTAGAATATTTAATTTTTTTTTTCTCATAGATACGATCAATGCGGGACCTTTCAACACAACGTCACTGCTAGAAAGAGAGGACAATGACATAACTTCCAACCAAATTTCATCGCTATATAAATTGTGGAACAAGACATCCTAACTTATCTAAAAAAAAGAGTGCAATGTAAAAAGATATGGATTTGGATCCCATCCAGATCCAAATTACGAGGATTCTTACATCTTAACAATTCATCGTGCATCGTGCGGTCAGAAATCATTTAACCCTTTTTAAACACAAATAGTATATGACGAAGACTGACCGCATGATGTATGTTCATTTTCACTTGTAACCTATCTACCTTCTTTGTTGATGCACAAAATCAGCGAAGACTTTGGTACAACAGAAAGTGTCAGGTTTTGTGACCTTCGCTTGGTTGCTTGGTTGCTTCAGTCACTAGTGAGGATAAATACGTAAATGAATAGAGACAGAGAAGCAAACACAGGATGTACGTGGTTCACCCAGATTGGCTACGTCCACGGAGTAGAGGAGTTCTTATTAGTAGTGAAGGGCTTACACAAGTACAAAGGATCAAGCTCTCAATTTAGTGAGTTCTTGTGAATGATTTAACACAAAATGGCATTAGGCAATATTGTGGGGGAATG